GATCTGCTTTTCTTCCTGCGATTTTAACCAAAATCACAGACGAATTGATTTCTGATGTTGAATCACTCGAAATCCGTTTGAGAACTGGTCAATCATGGTGATATGTGACTAATTTTGTCGGAAATCCGACTGATTTTGGATGAAATCCACTGTTCAAGGACTCTCTTGAATCAGCTAATTTGGTAAGTTATATGTGAATTTATATGGGAAAAAGAAAGTTTTTATCGAAGTCGAGAGATTTGAGTGTTCCGATGAATTCCGGAGGAGGAATCGTAGRTGCAGCAGCTCCTTCAAGCGGCGGTGGAAACGTGGAGTGGCATGTCCGACCACCGAACCCTAAAAACCCAGTTGTCTTTTTCGATGTCTCTATTGGTGGCATTCCCGCCGGTCGGATCAAGATGGAGCTCTTCGCCGACATTGCTCCCAAAACCGCTGAAAACTTCAGGTCTCTTTTACTTCCTGAACTGACTCTGATTCGATTAGATCCAGGTTCCATTGGTTTTTATGATTAGGGTTTAACTATATCCTTCTCTTTTCAACTTTCAGGCAGTTCTGTACTGTGAACACAGGTACTCCTATTTTTTTCTTTCTTGATTTTGCATCTTTGAATGTCTAAGTCCATTCTCTGTCTTCGTTTCCTGCATCTTGTTCTTGTTAATTCTGATTTTATTGGATGCATCTGCTATATGGAGTTCCTTTGATGTTGAATCCTCTTCTTCCCCTCCAGCTATTTTGTTTTTAAAGATGGGTTTTAAATTTTGTGTTTACTCGAGAGATTTATGAGGTTTTAGAGATTGTTTGGATTCAGAATGGTGTGCAAATTTCCATTTAGTCTTTTGCGCTTTCTGCTACTTTCATGCTTCAGTTTACAGTTTGTATTGTTTATGCATAGTTCTTGAAACTTCGTAGCTAAGAGTTGATGAAATGCTTTGGACTGATTGAGAAATTTTTGGGTACTTAACCTAATCGTCTTTATCAGTTTTGGTCTGTTTATATATCACGCATTTTTGTCTAAAAAACGGTTTAAATCCGTTCATGTGTTGGGGGATTTTGGTATTATAAGTCTGAATTTGGCTGTAGATCATTGTGGTTTGTGTATATTTTGAGCTGCAATTGTAAGCTCTCTGTTTAGCTTTG